CCCCAAAACCCTCATAGACCCCATCCCCACCACTCCACTCATATTTTTTGCTTACATTACCAACACAAGAAAATAAGTAACAACCCACTTATTTTCCTAGATAGTAATATTTTTCAAGAAATCACTTTCCTTCATACCGAACACATCATGTACTGTTAAGAATTTTTCTATAACAGAACTTTACATGCTCTTTTGGTGTCATAAGCCATAGGCAAGTCCTCATAGTCATAATATATAGCAATGAAACAAACAATTGTTATTCAGTAGTAAATTACAGTTACCAGTTATCGTATTATTTTCAAGATAAAGACAGTCTTTTGATCAGCCTTCATACTAATTGTGTCCAGGAGCTACACAAATTATACAGTTCTCAAACACTATGTTGCTAGGACTCTCCAAAAATGTTGCCACACCCGTGTCGGATCATCAAAAAATACACTAAATGTAGAGGATCCGACACGCACCCATCAACATTATTGAAGAGTCCGAGCAACATAGCTTAAAGCCATAAACATCACCATATAGTTGATTGGAAAATAATTAAATGAATGTATTCAGCAGCAGTTATGTTAGATCTACTTTATCTACAGATGACCGCACCAACACAGAGTTAAGTTAGTACAATTAATGAAGCTGAAGGTCACAAATAAATTATGTTTGTATTTAACAATCGCCTGAACTATGACTTATAACATTTATCCCTCTGTGTTAGTTAGAAGGTTGATCATACAAGACCAAGTGAATCAATTCAAAGTATTTCAAAATAACACCTAAATCAAAAGGATTTAAAACAGATCAATAGCAACGTGCACATGCAAGGATAAGGTTGATATTTAAAACATAAATTTAAGGTGTGCAAAATAACAATTATGTATTTGGAGATAAACGGATCCTTAAAAATTATGGAGATTTTTCTAAAACATCTAAGCGCATATCTGTCTAATTTTATCAGTGCCCAAATAACTAAGCAAATATTCTCTCTCCCATTATGTCATGTAGCTCCAGACGAATCGGGAAGAATTCCCAGCAACAGATATGTAAACACTTCAACCGATTTTCCACATTTTCTTGCTTTCCCCTAACTTCACAAGGGATATTAGAGCAGTCCAAAACTTGAGGTACTTGCATATGGTACCTGCTTTAAAATTTGCC